AGGAAGTTCAAGATTTTCCACCAAAATCATTTAATTTGGTCCCTAAATATTTTAATATGCTGCAGCATCTATTCTACCATCTATTATTGACATGCTGCCAGTACCTTTATTCTTTTGTTTGAAGGCATCGCCATCTTTCCTCCATACAGGATTTCTAGAATTATGTCCATAGAACTTTTTGGTTTCATCTGTCCATAATACTCTTTCCCAATACAATTTTTCCTTATCCTTATGTTCAAACTATTTTTCAACCTGGCATCTTTGTGTCTTTTCAATAGCAGTGGAGTTTTCTGAAGGGAGCATGACTTTAGATTGTTCCTAAGAATTTCACTGCTTATTGTCTGTTTAGTGACACAGATTCCTGATGAAAGCAAATCATACTGCAACTCTAGATGAGTAACCATTGGATTTTGTTTAATTTGACGCATTAATTTCCAAAGATCTTGCAGCAATCTTCTTTGATTTTCAACAGTTTTGAATTTTTTATACCTTGCTATGAATGAACTAATCATAGTAAATGAACTATTTGGGTTGTCCGAGATTTTCCTGTAACTTTTATCTTCTTTCTCTGGAAACTTAATTCTTTTTGTGAATTTGTCAATTCATTACCTCTTGCTATGATGAAAACCTTCTTGCACAAATATCAATTACAGAATGTGTTTGTATTTTTAGGCTAAAAATAACTGACAACATTATTGGGAAGTTCTAGAATATTCCACTTTAAAAATCTAGAGTATTAAAGCAATTTAAAAGATTTAAAATCTGAAATTTGCATTGTACAAATATTTTTACACCCATTAAAATGGATAAATGGGATTTAGTTTTATTAAATCAATTTTTTTTTCTGTTTTCTCTGCATATTTAGTTATTATGCATCTGTATACAGTTAATTATATGAAAAGTATGTATTCATTAGTTGGAAATACAATAAATTAAAAATTTGTATGCGTAAATGTTTTCCCCCACTGCATATTAAAAAGGATAGAGCGTATTCTGTAAAATGAACCTTTTTTTGTCCAAGACTTCTTCAGAAAGATTTGTTGGGAAAAAAAACAAAGGCAAACATGCAAAAAAAAAAAATAAAAAAAAAATAAAAAAATAATTATAAGATCTGAAGCTAAAAAGTGCATGTAAATATGGAGCCATGACTAACATAAATTTATTACTAAAACAATAAATTGATTTAAATAAGCTCTTAATGTGTATAAAGCATTAAATAAAATAAAAAAAACTCACCACCCACCCACAAGACACAGAAAATGAAGTTAATAAATGAAGTTTGATATGAACAGCTTATGATTATTGTTTTTTTTGTTTTTTTTTGTATGCTTGGGTTTTGTTTTCTGAAAAATCTGTTTGAAGAAGTGTTGGATGAAAATGGTTCCTTTTCAAGAATTCTGTAGTGTAAAATTTTTGTTCACACACACAAAATATATATATATATATATATATATATATATATACACACACACACACACATCGGCTGTAACAACAAAACTGTCCAAATTATGTAAAAGCAAAATTGTCCAATTGTTAAATCAACCTTTGTAACAAATGGTTAAAGATATCTTACTGGAATTCTCCAAGGTTTTTATTACATTATTGAACTCTACTTTGAGCAATAAGAATGTATAATTACTGTACAAACTTAACAGAAGAATCATGATGAAATCGATCATAAATAAAAATAACAGTTCATCATTAATTAATTATAGCAAAGGATCGGAAGCTCATGACGGATTGAAATAAATTTCAAAAATATATATTATTCTAGGATCACTTTCCAACTTATTCAAGATGATCTTCACTCTCTTGCCTGGAGTAACAAGGTGCCTCACAGGTTTCATGTATGATTTCATATGCAAGTCTTTTTTCACTGCTCGTTAGACTGTCATAGGTGAAACTCCTCCCTTGCATACCAAGCATCTTATGAATTGAGTTGGATCTTTTCTAATTGATCTCTTTAGGTCTAACTTGAAATGGTGATCCCTCTTCCTGCTGTGACCTTCTGATCCAGTGTTCTTCTCTACTGTTCACTCTTTTTTAAACTTATTCACCATTCTCTTGATGGTTCTTGAATGGAATTTGAAGATAGAAACCAGAGTATGAATGTTGGTACCATTGCTGAAGGCCTGAATGATCTTTTTACTCAGTTCAGAAGACAGTAGGGCTGACACAAAACAATTTTAACCTGTTCTCTTTTTAGCTAAATAGCTCAAAGGTTTTTTCAGTGATTCTTACAAAAAATGGTGTCAAGATGGCTTATCTGAAAACCTGAAGAAACAATTAGTTTAGTTTTTTTTGTTTTTTTTTAAGATATTAAACATTTTCTGGGGTGAATAATTATGCTGTTACATGATTTCTACAATTTTGCTGTTCCACCCGGTGTGTATATATATATAATGAATTACATAAAAATCAAAATAAATAGTACTCCATTTATATGGCCATTTCACTCCTACGAAGAGTGAAATGGCCATATAAATGAAGTACTATTGAGTTTCATTTTTATGTAATTCATATATATTCTCTATAATAAATATATTGATCTGTCAGTTTTAATATTTTATATTATTAGGAGTCACTTGGATTACTTACCCATGCATTTTTACCATGGATATATATATATATATATATATATATAAAATGAAATGGATTAAGTCTGGCAATTATTTAATATGTTTTTGTTTATAAAAAAAGTATACATGTATATTTAGGCAGCATATTTTTATTCAAACATGTTTCATTGAATAATATAGGCATATTATGTCTATTTTTATAATAATCCTTTCTAGTTCTTTAATTACCTTCATCGTGTTAAGTTGAAATTCAACAAGGAAGGCGCATGTGTGTGTGCACAGGTTGTGGCAAAAATATAAAAGACAATAACTAGATGAAGACACCATTGCCACTAATGTCTTACCATTATGTATTTCTTGGAGATATTTCTGATGTGGAGGATTGGTATTGACTTTGTGCTGCTAACAGATTTTGAATATCAGTGGAATGCAATAAACAACATGAAGATTTGACTGAAAATGACTGGCCAATGTTTATTGATGCACGTAGGTACAAGATGAGGACGTATATAGAATGGTCGACATCAAGTCAGCAGGACATTGAGTGAAGATGACTGAATCTCTTTCATTGGGACTGCTACCAAACACATCTGAACTCAATGGTTGGGAAGTGAGAAGAGAATGATCATCTCCTTTCTAGAAGTTTCATAAAATTTACATATGACTGGAAACCTTTGAATTATGAGAATATAAAATTGTTTATTTTTTTATTATTATTACTATTATTTTATTTATCAGTTTATTTTAATTATCTTACAATGTTGTACCTCTATTATATATATATATATATATATATATATATTTTATGTGTGTGTGTTGTCAATCCAGTAAATAATATTTTCTGGAAAAATCCTGGCATTTTTAGATTGATTGAACTGGATTCAGTTCAGCGACGTTATAAGTAAAAGTTCAACAGAACAGCATGTAATGAGTATTTATGTATCTTTACAATTTTTTTTTCATGCATGTTAAATACATCATAAACATATTAAATATTTTATACCCAATTCAATATACCATCACCCATGGAAAAAGATATTTAATATTTATTTATAGTATCATAAAAATCTCACCAACCAATAACAATGATTAACCAAACAACCATTTTGATGGTATATGTTTTTTTGTTTGTTTTTGGCTAAAGTATCTTAAGGATACAAAACAAACAAAAACAAACGAAAAAAAAACAAACAGTAACAATGATAAACCAAGCTGCCATCTTGATGGCATGACTTTTTTTTTTTTTTTGTTTTTTTTTTTTTTTGAACTTGTGTGTTTTGGGGGGAAAGAACTGTTTTGAACTAGAAATTCAAATACTGAATAAATATCGTAAGCAATAAAATAGAAACTTTTAATTAATTCAAAAGGAAAACATTTCGATGTGTCTAGTATCATTTCAATGTAAATAAACCTAGAGCAAAGATTTATCAACATCCAAGGCCACTTGACAAACTCATCCAAGCAAGAATCTGAAAATTTTAATTAAATCAGAATCCCATTTAAGTATTCCAAACTTATTTCAGATTAAAATGGTTATTTCAACAGAAAACATGGGCCATATCGTTGTTTCTACATTCAATGTAAATAAGCATAAAAATCAATGAATATTAATAAAAAATCAAAAGGTCATTTGATTGCCAATAAGGATATGTGCAAAATGTCTTGTTAATAATCTGGAAATTTTAATTCGGTACTCAAATTTGAATATTAATGTTCAAGGTTTAATTAACTGATTCTGTTTACAGGCACTGCTGGCATACAGCTAGTTTCACAATAAACTCTACATATTATCACTAATACAAGTGTTAGTACAAAAAAAAAAAAAAAAATGGTGGAATACTAGACATTTGCTGAGTGAGGGGTAATAAATCAAAGTTACATGCTTAGTTTTCAGCTTTTGTAAACTTTGTAACCTAATAATACAGTTGCACACATGGACAGGTTGGTTTCCCAAAGAAAAGCAATACAAGTTCAAATCTTACCGGAGGCAGCTTTTATACGTTTCTATTCACACTTCTATATACAAGCATTTACCAGTTACAACAAAAAGCAACAGAAATTAAGATAAATGAAATAGTAATTGATACATTACTTATAAAGAAAAAAATGAGTTTATATAAAAAGATGTGTTTGTTGGTTTCTTATACACAAAACATACATTGGTTGTTTTTTACCTGAAAATAATTTAAAGATAAAATGGGTTCTCAGTTTTAGTTTTATGGGATGAGCATCTCATGAAACAGATGAAATATGGATGATACAAAAAGACAAGCAAAAAAGCAAAAATAGACACTAGTAAAAAAAAAAAAAAAAAAAATAAAAAAGGCAGTAAAAATACAAGAGAAGGCACAGCTAAAACACAAAAGAAGACAGTAAAAAGCAAAAACTGCAACCCAAGATATGGCAAAGGCAAAAACACACACCAGAAGACACGGCAACCCCTCCCCCCCCAAAAAGAAAAACACAAAAGACACGGCAAAAAACAAAAAAGAAACAACAGAAGACACGGCAAAAAACAAAATGAAACAACAGAAGACACAGCAAAAAACAAAATGAAACAACAGAAGACTCAGCAAAAAACAAAAAAAGACACAAAAAGAAAAAAAACAAAAGACACAACAGAAGACACGGCAAAAAACAAAAAAACAAAAAAGACACGGCAAAAACACAACAGAAGACACGGCAAAAAACAAAAAGAAGACACGGCAAAAAAGAAGACAAATAGAAGAAAAAAAAAAAAAGACACAACAGAAGACACGGCAAAAAAAAAAAAAAAGAACACAAAAACAAAAAGACACAAAAAAAAAAAAAAAAGACAAAACAGAAGACACAGCAAAAAAAAAAAAAAAGACAACAGAAGACTCCAGCAAAAACAAAAAAAAAAGACACAACAGAAAAAAACAAAAAGACACAACAGAAGACTCAGCAAAAAACAAAAAAAGACACAACAGAAGAAAACAAAAAAACAAAAAACACAAAAAAAAAGACACAGAAAAACAGCAAAAAAAAAAGACAAAGAAGACAGCAAAAAAAAAAGACACAACAGAAGACACGGCAAAAAACAAAAAAGACACAACAGAAGACTCAGCAAAAAACAAAAAAGACACAACAGAAGACACAGCAAAAAACAAAAAAGACACAACAGAAGACACAGCAAAAAACAAAAAAGACACAACAGAAGACTCAGCAAAAAACAAAAAAGACACAACAGAAGACAGCAAAAAACAAAAAAGACAACAGAAGACAGCAAAAAACAAAAAAGACAACAGAAGACAGCAAAAAAAAAACAAAAAGACAAGCAAAAAAAAAAAAAAGACACAAAAAAACAAAAAAAAAAAGACAACAGAAGCAAAAGCAAAAAAAACAGAAGACATAAAAAACAAAATGAAGCAAAAAAACAAAAAAGACAACAGAAGACAGCAAAAAACAAGACATATAATACAAAATGAAGCAAAAAGTGAAAGATAGCAAAAAAAAAAAAAAAAAAAGAACACAAAATGACTTAATAAATAGCAGTGCTCCCTCACTTAATTTACATTAAATATCCAAAAACAAGAAGATGTTAGCCAGAACCAATTTATAAACAGTAAACAGACAAAACTTTTTAAAGAGAAATTGATTATTTCTTGGCTGAGATTCTTGCTTGATGTTATTTTCTTGCTAGAGGCAATGTTGATTAATTTCACATCAAGTAGCAATGGAGCCTAATGAAAAATTTAAATTCTCTTTTTTGTGGTTTCTGCCAATGAAAATGTGGGCATTTATTTTAGAAATTTACTGTCAAAACTATTAATTCAAGTGAATTATCTTTGGTATTTCCAGTAAATGTAAAAAAGAATTACAAATAAATCCAAAATAAAGAACAACAATTAAAAGATATTTGAAGATAACAACTTTTGGTTATCTACAAAGAATTTATCATTGATTCTACTTCCACAAGACAACATCTCTCCTCGGCATTTCTTCTTATTTTTTTGATCAGAAGAGCCAATTCAAAATATGAAAGAGAAAAAAAAATATATCGAAAATGATTTTGTAACATCAGCATTCTGTTGGAATAATGTAAATCAGATTTAATTTGCAATAAAGTAGAGTTAACATTTTTTTTGAAATCATGCGATAAAATGAGAATAGTTTTTTAAATATCTCTGGTTATATTTTGTTTTTTTGATAGCTTGTTTATTATTTTTACATGCTGTCTAAATTTTTAAAGATTTCTTTGAGAGCATTCCTTGTATCCATTTCTCTGTCTGTGTGTCACTCACCAGAAATGAAAAACTACAACTGAAAATATAATTCTTTCCTACTTGGTTCTTTAATCTAATATATATATATATATATATATGTATGTATGTATTTGCCCCAAACTAGGCAATAATGCCACTTTTTTTTCTTTTTTTTTTGTTTTAAGCATTATGCCCCGAGCAAGGCGTGAAGCCACTAGGATGCAGAGGGTTGCAAAAGATTTGGAGCGAGAGCAGATAGGAGTGATAGAAGAAAGGATGAGCAGAAGGATAGTGGGTAGATCAAGGTAACTGGAGATGTCAATTGACATTACATTTGAATAGTTGTAGATTATAGCTCTCAGGGAAACAGTAATTAGGAAGGATGTTCCACAGGCGAGAGGTGCGAGGTATGAAGCCATTGGAGTAGAAGAGACGGCTACATTTAAAAGTTTCTACAGTGTAAGGGTGGGAGCGGGATGCCAGCCTCAGAGGGCGCTTGAATTCATGGAGTCTGGGAACCAGTTGAAAGCAGCTCATTGGAACAATTACCATGAAAGTATTTGTAGAAAAGATGAGAGAGAGGCAACAGATGAGACGCCAGATCAGGGCCAATTATATTACATATCCCTCTCTGGATCTTGTCAAGAACTCCGAGGTAAACAGAAGGTGCCCCAGACCATATATGGCAGCAATACTCCATATTTTAGAAGGGACCAGGGAAACAAAGTATAAACCTCTACTCATGTTCAAATGACCAGGGAAGAGTGTGAACTGGATGATAAGCAAACCTATCTACTCCTATTATATATATATATATATATATATATTGTTATCAACAGACAGACTGTTTCACAGCTCATCTGTGTGGCTAGATGTCCAGTTGCCTCTAGCTAGGATTGAAACCCAGCTGAATTAGTGTCAGTCAAAGATTTTATCCGTAAGCCATTGGTGCATGGTAGGGATGAAGGTGAATTTAAGCATATATATTTTTAGATAAACACAAAGTGACTGAGAGAACTTGATTCACTTTTTACTAAAGAATCATATATATATATATATATATATATATATATATATATATATAAAAATAAAAGAAAGAGGTTATAGTGGTTCCAGCGAGAGAAAAGTGTGTATATTAAAAAGAAGAAGAGAGGTGCAAACGTTTTCGGTTGTAAAGTGGATTTTTTAAAAATATATTATGCTTTATTTTCCATAATTATGGAAAATAAAGCATAATATTTTAAAAAAAATTACAACCACAAACGTTTGCAGGCACCTCTCTTCTCATTAAAATATATATATAGTAAGAATTTCCACTTTTCAACCATGAGACCAAGACTTGATTCTCACTATGGTCAATTTTATTAATATTATCCTGGAGAAGCAATCTCAGTGCAGTGAATTTTGATCTGAAAACTTTATTTAGCCCATGGGGGTAGATTGTCCTAATTTCCTATGCCATTCCTTTTTTAGATATCTCAGTATCAGTTAATTCCCTTTAGTAGCTCAACATTTCAAGTTTTTGTCCTCACTGCTGTGGCCATGTATTGAACTCACAACTCTGTCGAGTCACTTTTTAGATTACTCAGACAACACTATTTATCACCAAGGACACATGGCCCAGTAAATAATCCATAAAGTAACTTGACAAAATGAGTTTAGAGTTCAATACCTATCCAAAAAAGGCATGATATGTGGAATTAAAACAGTCTACCCCAGTGGACTAAAAGGGTTCAGTTCGAAATTCCAAAATATATCATCTGAAGAAAGCAGGAGTGTACAACAGTCGAAATGTTGTAAATATGGCAATAAAGATGAGTACAACAGTCTGAACAATGTAAATAGTATAAATCTATCATTCATCATGCATTGATTACTGCTATTCATCACAAGGTTCTTGACAAAATCCAAAGAAGGATCTGCAATTAAATCAATCCTGACCAGACATCTTGACTTCAGTTGCTTTCTCACCGATGTCACGTGACTTTCCTCTATCTTTTCTAGAAATATTTTCATGGCAGCTGCTTTGAAAAATTTTTTTTTTTCCTTGGTGCTATAACTACATGAATTCAAGTGTACTACTACATTGTCATCTAGGTCCCACCCTTTTACTATTGAAATAGCTAAATGCAACCACCACTTCTACTCCAACAGTTTCCTTTCTCATACTTCCCACCTGTGGAATCTCTTCTGCTTACCCGCTTCTATGATAGCTACAATCTTCAGAAACTTAAATACAATATCAATTGCCATCTTCTAACTTCTTGAATCCCATTCATCTTTTGTCCTTTCCACAACCCTTCCTATACTCAATCTTTTCTCTCACTTTCATTCCCTGTAACCACCTGCATACTAGTGGTATTCCCAACTAGCTTGGGGTGAAATGATTAAAAAATTTAAAGGAAAAATGTTATAATAGTTAATCTCAGAAATTTTTGTAATGCCAATGAATACTTGTGACTTTCGTATTGCTTGTTGTAGTAGAGACTTTGTAATTGCAGATAAAACTATTGTGTGCCATTGAACAATACTGGTGCCAGACACCTTCAAATATCATTCATACTAATAGTACTCACTCGATAGTACTCACTCGAATAGTAATCTGAATAGAGAAATAGTATGGTGAATAGATTAGAAAATAGCTATCTGTATAGTAATAGAGGATAGAACAGAAATAATGACCTGTATAGTAATAGAGGATAGAATAGAAATAATGACCTGTATAGTAATAGAGGATAGAATAGAAATAATGACCTGTATAGTAATAGAGGATAGAATAGAAATAATGACCTGTATAGTAATAGAGGAGAAATAGCGATAAATTAGACACATGCTACCTTTCATATATGTGTTTCCTCTATGGTCATGTGATCTACTTAATTCAATAATGCCTGTATTTACTCACTGGCGATCTATGTTCAACTTCAAGTGTTGACAGCAACACTTTATTCCTATATAACAGAAATATAGACAGATTTTCAATGGTCTTGAATTTTTCAGATATCTTGTCACACATGTTTTTAACCTTGTTTCACATGTTCTAGATTTGAAAAAAAAAAAAAAAATTGTTATATTGCATACCTTTCAAAAATTCCAGTGCAAGGACCTTGCATTTTTCCCATTATTCACTTTTTTATCTTATTTTCCTACCAAGCAATCTGGTGCTATGACATGTGTAACTGTTTCTTTGTGTATGAATATCAAATACTGTCTTAGCTGTAAAGCAGGGTCAGTATCCTTTTTGTTTTGACAGTTCCCATTGTATGATTTTTCCCACTCTGACATGTTTGCTCTTATATACCTATTGAGTCAGACTGCTGTATTAACTGATTCCCTCCACAAAAAGGAACTTTTTTTTTTGTTTTTTTTCTTGGGGTTGGGTACATTTTCTCTCTCGATGTATTTATTTTGGACTGCAACAATAAGAAATAATAAAGGATTTAATTTCTCTTTTCAAGTATCCTCTGTTTAATCATATTTCTGATATTTTACCTGGAATATCTCTGTCTATTTTCTTTAGGGCATTTTCTTTTTCTGAAAGTTCTTTTTTCCATGTTTACTTTTATTATTACTAGTGTGTTACCTATCGTAAGTTTTCTAGCACTGTGAATATGCCTTTTGCTAATCTTATCATTGTGGGTTTTATCAGTTTCTGCCACTTTTGATCATCCATATTTTAGATTTGTTTTAAATTTAAGTAGACTTTCCTGACATGGATAACAAAAGAAAACCCATTATTTACCTAGCTTTTGAGCTTCAGGTATTTTCAATTATAACAGACTAAATATTTCAGGAAAAAAGATATATTTATCATTTTTTAAAATGAAATTTGAAGAGACACTGGAATAGCAAAAAATGCCTTCCAAAAGCTAAGCAAGGTATTAATAAACATGGAAATTCTATGGAAAAGAACTTAAGTAACATTGAACCTCTTCTAGGACAGTGAATGTTGGACAATCTCCTCACATATAAAAAAGGCTTATGGCCATGTCATAATGAAACACTGGTTCTCAAATGGTCACCAAAGTTAAGCAACATTGAGCCTGGTCAGTACCTAGATGGGTGACTGCTTAGGAATACCAGGCACTGTAAGCTTGGATATGCAGGTGGCGTAATAGATAATGACTTTAAATCCAGTTCCAGTCAGGTTTGTTATAGCCACTTGCATGCAAAGACTCTTGGCAAAGGTATGAATCCACCACTTCACCCCCAATTATGGATAAATTAGTAGGAATTGCATCACTAAATCATCATTATTTCCCCAAAATTCTTACAATATAAAGATTTTTTCTGGCTTTAAATAACCTGCAAAAGGTTGATAAGCCAGAACAAAACAAAATCATATGAAGAAGAAACTTGAGGTAATATGGTTCTACAGAAGTGTGCTGAGAATACCATGGGAGTAACAATAAAGTTCTAAGAAAAATGGAAACAAAAGTAACTCTTAGAATCAGAAAGAGACTACCTAAATGTCTTGTACACATAATCAACCATGGTAAGATTCCAACACGTTATAACCATTCAGCTCTCTCTCTCTCTCTCTCTATATATATATATATATATATATAAAATGTACATTATTCATGATTTTACTATAGAAATACAGTGGCAATCAGTAAAAGGTATTTGTCAGTGGTCATGAGTGAAGGCATGATAATTGATAATAGGATTATTATATGCATAATTCTTGTAAATCATTACAGACTAATTACAATCTTCAATTCTCAGTAGAAGTATTATTAAATGAATTCAAATTAGGACAATTTACATAGTTGTCAAAATATTCAAATTACATTCATCAGAATAATGACTTCGGCGAGGAAAATAGAAGTTAATAAAACATTTCTAAAAACAAGTCAAAAGGATAAAGTGATATATTAGAAGTAATACAGCTTACAATACAAAGACACTTTTGTTTGTTCTGTTTAAGGAATACATTTAGGAAAGAAAGGAGCTATTTTACTACATGTTTGCAAAAAATGAATATCAGAATGAAGGAATATCAGAATGAAGGAATCTCAGAATGAAGGAATATCAGAATGAAGGAATATCAGAATGAAGGAATATCAGAATGAAGGAATATCAGAATGAAGGAATATCAGAATGAAGGAATATCAGAATGAAGGAATATCAGAATGAAGGAATATCAGAATGAAGGAATATCAGAATGAAGGAATATCAGAATGAAGGAATATCAGAATGAAGGAATATCAGAATGAAGGAATATCAGAATGAAGGAATATCAGAATGAAGGAATATCAGAATGAAGGAATATCAGAATGAAGGAATATCAGAATGAAGGAATGAAGGAATCTCAGAATGAAGGAATGAAGGAATCTCAGAATGAAGGAATCTCAGAATGAAGGAATCTCAGAATGAAGGAATCTCAGAATGAAGGAATCTCAGAATGAAGGAATCTCAGAATGAAGGAATCTCAGAATGAAGGAATCTCAGAATGAAGGAATCAGAATGAAGGAATATCAGAATGGAATATAAGAATGAACGAGTATAAGAATGAAAGAGTATAAGAATGTAACCTAAGCACCTAACCTTAGAGGAATGAACAGGAGTCAAATTGTCATGCAGTAAAAAAAAAAAATGAGAATCATTTCTTTTGTTTAAGAGCAATGGCAGGACATATTAAGCAAGAGGGCAAAAATAAGGATGAACACAAAATAAAGCCTCTTTAACATGAAGCCTCTTGCCAAACATTTTCCAATTGTTTGAAAGGTTCAGGCTGCAACACCTCAGGTGCTAGAAAAATAGAGTGAATAGCTTTTAGTCCACCTATATAAGATTTGTATTCAAATTTCCCCCAATAATTTCAGTCTTTGTATATTATTGCTCACAGAAAGTGAGAGCAGCACTATATCGAGTCTAGTTTGTCACCTCTTCATAACCAAGGCCTGTTGGTATGTCACCTTCACCATATTGTAACTGTCTGGGTTCAATTCTCGGTAGTGGATGCGCACTGCTGATGAGTCCCAAATAGGACGAAATGGCCACTGAGTGCTTTCTACATTGTGTTGAGGATTCTTCCAGACTCAATGAATTATATTTATATATATATATATATATATATATATATATATATATATATATATTAGAATGTGCTGCTTATATTTTATATCAAAGAAATAATTTATACAAAAAATTTAGTAGCAATATTAATGTGATTAATGGTGAAATCATTTTGCTAACAAGACTTAACGAGACATTAACTTACTATCAATTCCTTGAAATATGTGTAGATTGAAAGATCTTTTTTTTTTAAATGTCAATAAATAGTGTAACTTAAAAAAAAATCTTTCAGTCTACACATATTTTGTCTTAGTGTTTGCCTATGTATGGGAAAATATTGTGCCCTGAAGATGACAGTTTGAAATTGTTGAAAGTGCTTGGCAAGTACTTGGCAAGTGTCTTCCATCTGACAACAACTTGAAGATAAGGATCTTATTGTTAGTTAGAAATAATATTATAAATAGGTAAGCCAACTCAAACACACTGGTCACAATTATAAAGCCTTTCGCCAATGTACTGGGCACAGTAACAATGCAACAGCCACAAAGCCTCTTAGCAAAACACCGGACACAGTAATGGAGCCTCTCACCAACATGCCAGCCAAAGTCACAAACCCTCTTGGCAACATGCCAACCAAAGTTCTAAAGCCTCTCATCAATGCAACAAGCACAATTATAAACTCTCTCACCAATGCACCAGGCACAGTCATAAAACTTGTCATAATTGCATAGATCTTGAAAGATTAATGCTCTCATAAATGCATAAAGCTTAAGCATAAATTTTATCATAAATGCACAGGTCACAAAAATAAATCATCTTATAATCTCCTAACTCGGAAATACAGTCAGAGAAGTTCTCTTGAAAGACCAGCAATGAAAGACTAAATTTCAATTAAATCTCAAAAGTGAAAAACTGATTTGACCTTTTCTAAAGTCAGGACAGGAAGAAAACACGATGGATGCACACAGATGAAACCTTAATGGAGATACAATGAAGATAATAACAAAGAAAGAACATAGAACAAAAAAATCAACACCAATGTATTAAGATAAAAAATACAAGTAACAATAATCAAAAGATAATTATAAAGAAATCATCTCTTGACTTGGTACAAAGCCAGTAAGAAAAAAAAAAAAACACAAAGGGCAAAGTATCATAAATATAAAAATATTGACTACTTAAATTCAGTCATTCACTGAAGCCAGGAACAAATCAAGAAAGCAATTATATAAAGTCACTATAATGTATGGAAAGAATAAATTGATATATAGTGAAAGGGATGGAATTATAAAGAGATCAACAGGCGCCATAAGCACTTCTGTTCAGTCTTTTCAATAACAAAAACGATTTCATCTTCATTGATTATCTTCAAGTTTCTCAGTAAGAAAACAATTTCCAGGAACAATTGTTCATCACTGCTGTATTTTTGGTGTTTCAAGTAGAATAACATCCAAGAGATTCATGACAGACTTATGTTACAGACTTTATAATGGTCTTTTCAGAGTTCCAATTCAATTTAATATCCTTATGATCTTACGTTCCTTCAATTTCTCCATAATTTTGAATTGTCATCTAGTAATTTTTCACCATTACAGTTCACACCTATGATTTTAGAACCCCAAGCTATTACAACCTTTGAAATATGTGTGTGTGTGTGTGTATTAATTATGCTGACTCCTACCTAAGATTGAACACACCATCCTTGGCTAACAAATTAGACTCCTACTCCTCAACTTAATGGATGTGTTTTAAGCAGTGGCAGTAACTTATTTCCCATCCTGCTAAAGTGGATTTAGCCATTAGTCCATATTCATTTTTTGGAAATTTCTCCCCAGGGAACATTTTTCTGTTTGGTGAAGTGCTGTCACTCTAATGTTTGAACAAGATCCTGTTTTAACATCTAATAGCAGAGTGTAGTTCATAAATTAAAAAAAAACAAAAAACATGGCGACAAATATTGAAATTTAGCCCCATCAGTGCTTAGCCCAGAAAAGTGCCATGCTTGGTAAAAAGAAATGAAGTTCTGGGAAATGGCAACAAATATAGGTGTGAGGAAAAAGAGCTCCAACTGTGTTTTTGAGTCTAAATGGTAAAACCAGAAAAGCAGTGCTGGAAATGGACCCTGATAAATTAAAACACATCCATTAAGCTGAGGAGTAACAGTCCAATTTTTTAGCCAAAGATGTGTTTTAATAGCTTGCTATGTTCCTAAAGTGTTTTGGAAAAGATTGCCAAGTGGTTTCTTGATGTCTTGTCCATATCTACTTGGCAAAGCAGAGTGTAAGGAGAAACAAAAAGGAAGGGTCTTGCATATAATATAGAGATTATCCTGTGTTTCTGGAGAAGACATGTTTAGGACTCCACATTCAAATGGGTCGAATTCATCTACTATGTACCAGGCAAGAACATATTTCATGAAGTGGAAATGGTGAGTCTTGAGCCCCCCCCCTTCCCAAATTGAGGACTGCAAGCCAGAATGTTTTGGAAAATAAAATTGTCAAGTAGTTTCTTGTTTTATCCATGCTTTTGAATTCAGAGTAGCCCTTCTAAACTGGTTGCTTTTCAAGACTAGAAAAAGCTAGTTTAACCTGCTATGTAAGCCATAGAAAGTGGGGGGGGGAAGATTTGTGCAAAAGTCAGGATTCAAATCCCTGCCTAGTCTATTAGACTAACCATAAGCTCCACTTTCTGCACTGATAACCATTATGCACATTGATTTTTTTTTAGATTTTTTTAAAGCTAACATGAAACAGAAAAGAGAAAAGTAAGCTGAATGCCAGTCTAATGCTAAACTGTAATTATATATGTGTATATCAGTAATGCTTGCATTAATTTCTTACCGATTTTCAATAGAGGCCTATAATAAAATCATTAGCAATAAATTTATGTTGTACACCACAGCCTAACTTTGCCAGTAATAATGGATAATATATGACCAATTTTTTCCTGAATTGTAATTAATTTTTATAGCAAACAGTTAACAATATATTTGTATTATATAAAACATAGCTCTATCCGGTTAGCGAAGCTGCCTTTAAAAAAAAATAAAAATAAAAGGTTTCCTTCCTCATG